GCCATGTGGTCACCTCGGGCAGGCGGGAATCTGAACTCATGAGGAAGTGGCTTTTAGATTCTCAGTGGGGTGCTTTAACCCGCTGTGCCACCAGGGAGGGCCCATCTTGGGTACCTTTAAAAAATAAAGTTAATTTACAGAACTATATAAATTTCAGTGGTACATCTTCACCTCTGTGTGTATAAGGCTCATCTCACTTATTTCCAAAGTTCTGGTGCCATTCCCATTAGTAGGTTGATACCCTTTACTCTCTCCTCTTGGTGCTTTTTTAAAATTTGATAGTAGTATATGCATACTGAAATTAATTGGCTGCGCTGCTTTTTTTTTTAATTTTATAATTTACTTTTACATATTTTTGTGCATTTTTCCATCTCGGTTGCAGTCCCCTTGGGTTTCCCATCACCAAATCACCCATGCGCCATCACCATAGTCCAGTGCATTTCCCTCCCCCCACTGTTTTTTTTTTAAAGATTTATTTATTCATATAGAACTGGGGTACAGGCCAGAGATGTGGAGGGTGAGAGGATTCATCTCGGTTGCAGTCCCCTTGGGTTTCCCATCACCAAATCACCCATGTGCCATCACCATAGTCCAGTGCATTTCCCTCCCCCCACTGTTTTTTTTTTAAAGATTTATTTATTTGTGCATACAGAACTGGAGTACAGGCCAGAGGCTCAGGGGTAGTGAGAGGCTTCACCAGAGACAGAGTAGGGAACAGAACAGGCTGATCGACGAAGTACACTGCTGAGGGGAGCAGCGGGCGGGTCAGGAGAGGTCTGCCATGCCATGTGCTCTCCTCTGGGGCAGGCAGGAATCGAACTCATGCGGAAGTGACTTAAGCTTCTTAGTGCAGTGTTTTTTTTTAACCCGTTGTGCCACCAGGGAGGGCCCCCCCCCACTGTTTTTGATCCCATTTCCCACTCCACCCCCACAAAATGTCTCTGGTATATAGCTGTTCATCATTATCTGTTATATTCCTGCCATGAGAGAAACCATCCGGTATTTTTCCTTTTCTTTCTGGCTTATTTCACTAAGCATGATCTTTTCCAGCTCCATCCATGTTGCAGCAAAAGACATATGTTTCCTTTTTTTTGGTTGCTGAGTAATATTCCATTGTGTATATGTTCCACATCTTTTTAATCCAGTCATCCATTTTTGGGCATTTGGGCTGTTTCCATGTCTTTCCAATTGTGAAAAAAGCAGCAATAAACATGGGGTATAGGTATCTTTTTTGGATCATTGTTTTTATGTCTTTTGGGTAAATACCTAGGAGTGGGATTGCAGGGTCAGAGGGAAGCTCCATGTTTAGCAGTTTGAGGAATCTCTAAACAGTTTTCCATAGTGGTTGTATGGCTGCACTACTTTTTAAAAAAACTTTGTTTATTGCATGCAGGAACTGGAGTGTAGGCCAGAAGTGTGGTGGTGTATGAGAGGATTCACCAGAGATAGAGTGGAAGGCAAAACAGGCGGATCTCTTAAAATACACTACTGAGAGGAGCAGCTGTTGAGACAGGAGAGGGCTGCCACACCATGTGGGTTAGCTCCTTGACTGCGTATCAAACTCCTGCTACAGCAACTGTCTGTAGCTTGATAGTTCTGAGACTTCAACCCCTGCATCACCAGGGAGTCCAGGACATAACAGCTTTTTTTAAAACCAGTGTTAGCTCAATTAAAAGTACTTAAAAAAAAAAAGATTTATTTTTACATACAGAACTGGCGTACAGGCCAGAGGTGTAGAGGGTGAACAGATTCACCAGAGACAGTGTGGGGAGCAGAACAGGCAGATCGATGAAGTACACTGCTGAGGGGAGCAGCAGGCCTGACAGGAGAGGTCTGCTACGCCACATGGGTTACCTCCGGGGCTGGAGATCTATCTGGCACTGAAGCAGCTGCTGCTAGCTTGTGGTGCTGCGCTTTAACCTACTGCGTCACCAGGGAGGGCCCTAAAAGTACTTTCACAAGTAATTTTTTTAATGTCTGGCAGTAAAATTAACACCTTTTGAGATAAAAATGCTGCAATATGGCACTACAATCATAATGATAATAGAATTGGGAGTTTTTGTCTTAATAAAGCAGTAGGTTTTTCGGTGGCGAAACATTGTGTAGAAAAACAGAACTAATTGATTTGTCTGTTGCTTGCCAGCTTATATTATGAAATTGAGTATAGCTTCTTTCCTAAATATACTCCTTAAGGAAGTATATTTTGAAAATATTTACTTGGGTCATACGAGCAGTGGGCAATTGAATTGCAGCAGTCCAAAGTGAATTTTTATATAACTGAATTCTTATTCTAGTGATAAGTTAAATGTGGAGGAAAATGCCTCCTTTGCAATTACATTTAGACAAGACTACAGCATGATGTCTTTGCTTTCCTGTACTTTGTTTCTTGAGGAATACTTAAGATTGAGTTCATGTAGTTTCCTCATTTTTTTTTTAAGTGATTCGAGTTTAAAAGCTTGTTGATTTAAAATTTGTATCTGAATTACTTGTAAAAATGGGCTAATGTTAAGAGTAGAAGGGGTATTGAACTTAGTAAACTTCTAAAATAACTATTTTAGCTATTCAGCCAACTACTTGCCTGGTATTTTTGAGAACAAAATTACGCCCCTTGACAGTGATAATCTAGCTAGGGAAGCAAGATTAAATTTGTGAAAGGCGAATTAACAGCTACTGCTTTAGTGCTTAAGGTGCAGGAGCTGTGTTAGGA